CTTATAGATGGGACATACAAAATCGTAATATCACTGATTTAACATTGAAATCTGTAAGTAATATAAGATGGGAGAGCTGAATAAAAATATCAAATATTTTAATGGTTTTTTTTTAACTCCTGTCAACTATACAAAATTATCATAAAAACATACCAGTAAATTCATATCAGTTGGGTTAAGTTATAAATCTACTCATGATTCACGTAATCGGGCGAGGGCGACCAACAGCCCAGAACCGATCCTAGATAGAATTGGATGCAGTATACGTGTAGCATCCACCCAAGGTCCTAGGCTTCCATCAGATAAACCAAGTAAGGTTGGTGCTCTGTACAGTGCATGCACGAATCTGGCTTTTTGGATGCTGACAATACAGCGCTTCCATTCTGCCACTAATATTTGAATATAGACTACAATAGCAATCTTATTTTTTTTTTTTTTTCACGTGTAGTTTGATGTGGTTATAATAAAATATTGTGCAAATATTTTCATATAATTAAAATCAATATGTATTTATTTTTTAGAAAATACATGGGAAGCGGCACATCCACTGCTTCCAATGACGGCACGCCACTGAGTTCAAAGAATGATTCCCCTGAAAGAAAATTCTGGCTAATAAGGGCCTGTCTCTATCCATTCTTTGAACAGTCATATCATCTTTTTAGAAAAAGATTTGTATGTAGTAATTGTATGATTGAATGGAGTAATTTTAAGATTTTATCTTGCTTTGCTGTTTGGAACCTTATCTTTGAATCTATGGTCAGCTGTTTTATGCAAAAATCTCATTTCTGCACACTATTTTTTTCTTTACATTATATTCTACAAATCTGGTCAATGATGTAAAGTGAATATTGCTACTGTTTTGTATATCTTTATTCTTGTATGTTTATGTACTTTATTAACTTTAAAAACTATCAGACCAGTTATCTTTTGAAAATTCAAAATTTTTGGATCTATATCAGATTTGTTTTCATAACAGTATCTGCAACTTAAGTATCAGAATTGTACTTAATGTTCTATTATTTTATTATATACTGTATTGCTATTTTGTTATGGACTTAATTGATACTTTAAGAGCCATTACTTTTAGTTTTATTGGATGATATTTTCATTCCATATTCATTAGCTAGTTCATTTAGACTAAATATTGATCTTTATAAATCATTCTCAATTTTTCCAATGACTGATCATCTGCAAAAAGCAAGGTTTTTAATTTTAACTTGTGACATATGTTTGTGCCTTTTTTATTTGCTTTCATTATTTATTTCTTCTGAGTATATGTTGAATAGAATTTGAGACATTGGGATTTCTGTCATATTCCTCTGTTGATTTTTTACTTTAACAGAGGGAAAGTATGGCAATTGGTCAAAAAACGACACTCCAAGAGTTTTACATTTTTGGACTCCGGGGACCCTAGTGTCAAGAAATGCAAAAAATTTTGGGAGTTTTTTCTGTATGTATGGATGTTAGCTTGTGGGGAGGCACAGTTTTGTTCACTCTCTTTGAAGCTTAATAACTTTGGTGCTTTTTGTTGAAAATTTTGCAGGAAGGTAATTATTAGTGGGATTGATGCTATTAAACTAAAAGTCGGGGGCTGGGGAGATAAAGGGAGTTGTGTGTCATATCTCAAGTAGGGTTGGACTTAATGATGATTTTACTCATTATTAGTGTTTACAACTTTTTATAAAACCCATCCCTACCTTCAAAATTAAAGTTTTTGCCATTTTATAGTAGTTAAAAAAGTTTTTTGATAAAATATAACAGATGGCCCACCAAATATTGCTGGAAAGTTAAGCAACTTGTTGCTGGATTTTTATATAATAGTATTATATAATGATCTTTGTTCTGGACGATTAGCATTTTCCTCCTTTACATAACTACTAAAATTTCTTAACATGCTATTTAATAATTCTATTCTTGTGTATTTGATAAACTTTAAATTTATCCCATCTTCATGAGGGTTCGAGTAGATACATGTAGATGCTTGTCATACATTGGGTTAGTGCATCACTTAACTCTTCTATAGTTATTGCATTTAAATTACTTCATTTGCTGGGTGTTTAGAGGTATTGCTATCCTCTAAACACCCAGTTGTTATCTTTATTCAGCATTAAATCAGAATTTATGTTTCTGATCTAATTATATTGATGATCATTTTATAGATGGAAGGCCTTTTTAGTGTTATGACTCATACTAGTTTTGTTATAAACTGACTAGATTTGGTATAGCCAATGTAGAGCATTCAGCATTTCACCTCTATTTCCATGTTTGTGGCCATCTTTCTTACTGGACTGCTTGAATGTGTCATAGATAAAAAGAGGAATGCCACAATTTAATGATAGATGGAAAATTCCAAAAGCCATACTATTTTATTTTTATGAATTATTATTGTTTACCAATAACTGCATGCTTGATTACATAGCAAGGTGCTTGCTGTCAACCAGAAGGATCGGGATTCCAAAAATTTCATATACAGCGTCATCTGTATGTCTATAACAATAACAGCTAATGAATGGTGGCAACTGTTTATATGTGCACACTACCTTGCATTTGTTCTTGATTAACTTAGTGAGTAGAGATTGTTCGATTCTTGGTAATGTATCAAGCTAAAGTACGACTCCTTTCCGTTTGAAGTTTGCTCCTTATTATCAAGAATCGAACGATCTCTACTCGCTAAGTTAATCAAGAACAAATGCGAGGAAGTAGCAGAAAAAGAAGAAAAAATGTGCACATTCTTAAAATAAACCAGGATTCTAAAGAGAAATTTCTTGGGATTGAAATACAGGACATTTTCCATGAAATCTTGGAATACAGAAATTTCAGTGTTCCAACAAAAACTATCAGGACAATAGGACAGAGTCAAAATATGGAAAAGTCCCATACAATGTGGGATATATGTCTGTTTTATATAAAGTTGTCCCAGTTCTGTTTTTTTGTTTGTTTTCCTAATTTATATTCCTGTTTTTGCAACTGATCCTTTCTTCTCTCTTCATAACAGGCTAATTTGCATTGTATATAGATAAACTGTTGTTATTTCAAAATTGATCAATTTAGAAATAGTAGCAGTTTTGCTTTATCTATTACTTTTAATCACATTTATGTAAACCAAATTTGCATAATTTTTGAGAACAATAAAATTGAAACATTTTTAAAATACAGTAGGACTCTGCTTAATGTGGGAAATGAATGTGTTTCTAGATGACAAAGAACTAAATGAAACAGCGTAAAACAAGGTCATTTTAACATAGAGTAAATAGGGAAAGGAGAACACGACCAAAAATAGACAGTTTTTACTGTCACGAATAGATGCATAGACACTGAGCATTTCTGACATCAATCTTTATTCAGGAATATCCTGTTGGCCGAGACGCGTTTTGGGGATAAACCCCTCTTCTGTTGATATTACTTCCGGGATATCTTGTAAGGTGATGTTAACTGTTATACATCTTGTTTAAAATTACTTATTTACAGTTAAAATATTTTACTGTTAAAATACCTTTACAGTTTAAAATATATTCACAGTTAGAATTATCATTATAGTTAAAGTTTTTTGACTTTACACTGAACATCACCTAGCATGTCGATGTTAACTACATAAACAGATTTTATGTTAATATCAAGTTATTTTTATATTAATTTGCATAATAATATATGTTAAACAACACAAACATATGCACACAGAAATGTAAAGTTCATTATTTGTGATGAAGGTCTTTTCTGAAATTCTTGTTTTTTTATGATAGTCTTATAGTTTCATTTGTTACTTTTTTTTCTTTCCTTAAGCAAATGTTGGTAGCAGAAGATTTCATCCAAAACACTTCATTTTGCTTTTGCACTCCTTTCAAAATCTGGATCATTCACTACAATTTGATCAACAATTTTGGTCAAATTAACTCGTTACCAAACTTTTACTAAGTAAATCTGTAGAGAAATTCTTTGGGTTCTTCATTTTCAGAATCTCTTATTTTCCAGTTCTATAAGAATTTCTTGTCCTGCCAGTTCTTGAAGGTTGTTATTGGTAAGACCTGAAACCTGCAGTAACTCCTCAATATCCTGCTCGTTTACATCTCCTAATCCTGCTGTATCGATTAGGTTGACAGGACATCATTATGTTGACAATTTGGTCAACCTAATGATACAGTGATCGCTCTTCTCATTGAGAATTTTTGGATACCTTCAACCATAATTTCTTCCACACTTTGTTCATGCATTTATCAGTTAATTCTGCCAAGCAAAGTCGATATTGTGTATGGCATCCATGATATTATATTTTTTCCAAAATTGCACAAAACAAACGTTGATTTAGGGGAAGTACAGTACTACGAGATATTGCCACCTTATGCTGAACGGTTCACGTTTGGGAATAATTGTATTATATACGAAATACGAATCAATGAAATGCTGCGATAATTTGAATTGGGGTAAATTTTTTTTAGGCTTTGAGCAGACCGCATTATATTGAATCAGTGTTAAGCGGGGTTTTTTGTATATTTAAATGATAAAGTCAGACTAATAAACATCATCTTCAAATAATTTCAATTTGGAAAATACAAACTGAAATGATGTTATGTTACATTCAGTTAAGATAAACATTACGAATGATTAAATGTTTTAATTTATAAAAATACACTAATCAATTAATTGTGAAGATTTAAGATATAAATGATTAGAGGTATGAAAATATACTAATTATATGAAAATTTATATAAAGTAATATTGACTTTTAAGGATCAAAAAATAAAATGATAAATTTCTAATAAAAAGATTTATTAAAATGAAGAAAAAATATGAATTTAAAAAATATACATTTTTTCTAAAAGTAGTAACATTGTAAATGAATAACCAGAACTGCTGTTGTCATTATGTAGGCTGATTTAATTTGTTGTACAAGATATCAATGCACTATGCATAGTCATCAAAGAAAGATCAAATCCAAAATGGAATTGCCAATACACAGAAGGGATACTTCAGCCCAAACTATTTGTGATAAATTATAATGTTCCATATTGGATCCTTATAATTTGATTCATTTTATATTTGTTGATCCAGACTGGATTGAACAGGATGAAATATCATCCTGCTACCCAGATGAGATATTTCCATTACATTGAATACTAAGATAGACTAAAAAATATGTTATGATTATAAAAGAGATGGAGGAAAGACAAGCTGAAAATGGTTGTCAGAAAAATGCAGATTGCCTTATTAGAACTACAACAAAGTATTAAATACATCTATATGTGCCACCAAGCTGAAATTTCCCATTAAAGGCAATTTAGAATAATAGTCAAATTAAACTGTTTTATTTTACAATTCATTCATATGAAGAGTACTGGTATGTTTACATTATTTCTAAATGCCATGGAAATATAAAAAAATATATTGTTAACAAATAAAAATGAAAGTTCATTACATTATATTTTTCTCTTATTTCTATTGCAACAACAATAATCTCCAGAATTTACATAAGATGCATATACATGAACCAAAGGCAATTAAGTTGACAAGGTCATGGAAAGGTTGAAAAACTTCTGATATAATCATGGACAAATAGTTGAATATTTTCTTAATTTTGGGGAATTAGGTGTGTAACACTTATCACTTTATTCTATACTTGTTCCTAAAATTTACCATTAGATTGTTCAAATCTCCAATAGTATTGCAATTGTAATCTGACATCTTTGTTAATAATTCTATTGTGTTAACTAGAAATATATATAATCATATATAATAATCATAGCCTTAACTTTTGTAGGATCCAATATGATGTAAAAATGAATTTTTCATTATTGGCAAAAAGGTCAATATCGAAATTCTAATTAGGAAAACTTAAATTTGTATCAATTTTAAAGATGAAAAACCTTCTAGAATCTCAAAGGTTAAACACAGAAGCAATCATAAAAGGCATTATACGAAGATGTTTCAATAAGTAATGCCTTTTATTTTTTTAAACAAACATTTTAACGTGTACGCAAAAACATGAATATAGTAAATGAAGTTTGAATTTCTGGCAACGCTATTGCATGATAGAAACACTCATGTTGCCTGTCAGACATATCTGACAAATGGAAAGAAAAGAACAGTGAAGCATTATTCGTTTCTATGGGCAGGGGGCAAGAAATGTGCAACAAATTCTTGCAGAAATGCAGAAAGTTGTATGGTGATGATTGCATAGACAATTCAAACATCCATTGATGGTGCAAAATGTTTAAAAATGGTTGTCAGTGTGCGATTGATAAGCACAGGATAAGTGCAGCTTCGCCTGCCTCAAACAGTCATTGCTGTTGAGAAATTCAAAGTAACTACTGCATTCGCTTGAAGATGCTGTTGGAAAAATTGCTTGGTGTCCTGTTTGGTCCTTTGAGGAAATTCCTGGCTAGAGAGAAGTTCCATTCTGATGAGGAGGTTAATCAGCTATTCGCAGATGGTTGTATAGCCAGGAAATGGCATTCTACAATGCAGGCATCTTCAAGAAGAGGCACTTCTGGGACAAGTTCTTGAACCTGAATGGTTCCTATGTCAAGTATCCTAATCCACATATTTCGTTTCGTATATTATGTATTTTCCATTTGCATTAACACTTTTGCTCAAAAAAATAAAAGGTGCTACTTATTGAAACCCCCTTGTAATAAAGTACGTAGTAATAATCAGAATCTAAATCTACTTTTAAGTTCTAGAATATCTAATTCTTTAGAACTTAATGTTATCTTGGGAAAACTTTGATCATTGTGTTGGCAAAAACATTCTCAAATTTCAAGTTTATTTGAATTGAGGATAATTACAATAAACAAAATGCAGTTAAGTTTATTATATGGTATCTATTACCAATTAGACAGATGAAAAACAATATTTTGCATAAAAAACAAAATTAGAATAATACTAGAGATATTAACAGTGGAAATTTTAGACATAACTCTTCACTTGAACAACATTAAGCATTTGTAGATTGGGTCAGGAAATAATTTCTAAGTTCACATTGACAAACATTTACTACTAATGCTTCAAATTATTCAACTGACTAATATGCTATTTTGGGGAACAAATTGTCAAAATTTTGAAGAATTAGATATTCTAGATCTTAAAAGTAGATACAGATTCTGATTATTACTGTACATTATATTTTTTATGATTGCTTCTGCATTTAATCTCAGAAATTCAAAGAGTTTTTTCATCTTTAAAATTGATACAAGTTTAAGATATCAGGAAAATTGTCTACCACAATGAGATTAAAACAGGTCAAAGAGATTAAATTAAAAAATTATTTTATTTGGCTAAAAATGTATGGATTTATAATGTATAAGAAATACAATCAAATATAGTATATTACTATTTTAAAATAGTATTTACTCAATTTCACCTAAATAAATTTGCTTGTCACTCGAACAAGATAAAATAATTGGTTCTTTTGGATGAAAATCAACATCATTGACAGATCCATTGTGTCCCGGTAACTTGTATAAAATTCTTCTTGTTGTCGTATCCCAAATATAAACAAAACGGTCTGCAGAACCGGCAGACACTTTACTACCATCTGGCGACCAGCAACAACGAAGCAAATTCTTTTCGAAATTATGTTGATGTCCTTGTAAAATTTTTACACATCTCTCTTGTGGTGCAAATGGTCTAATATCCCATATTCTTAGCATGTTATCCATTGCATTTGACAGAACATAAGAACCATCTGGACTGAGCGAAAGACCAGTAATGATATCCGTATGCCCAGCCATTTTATAGAGAATACCATTTTTACGCAGATCCCAAACTTTGACATTTCCGTCAATGCTTCCGCATATAATTTGCTCGGCAGTGTCATTAAAAGTAATGGCAGTAACTTGATACACTTCTTGAAAGGTTTGAACGGATCCTCTCTTTCTTTCGTCCCATAATCGGATGGTACAATCGTCACTTCCACTACAGATCAACTGCGGACCTCTGCGAGCACTGTGACAGCAGTTCACATAAGAAGTGTGTCCTCTCATCTTTTTAATTCTGACTCCCACATTAGTATCCCAAATACAAACAGTTTTATCTGTAGAAGCTGTGAAAATAAGATTACCATCAGTAGAAAAATTTAAATCTAAAACAGCTCCAGTATGCCCTGTGATTACCGAAAAGTTCTCACATTCTCCGTAAGTATTCCATAAAAATATTTGTCTATCAAATCCACTAGAAGCTAGAAGGGTTCCATTTGGGTGAAATTTCGAACAGAATATTTCACCTTGATGTCCAACCAACAGCATTATTGGCGATAATAAATTAGACGTTCTTGGTGGTTCTGTTTCTATAATGGCTGTCGACGTATCGTTTGAAGGCACTATATCAGTTCTCATACGTTTTATAGGCACGACAATGCCTTCTGCTTTTCTCTTTGCTTCCATCTTCTATGAAATCAATTTATCTTTCGCATCTAGTAAGCACGCTTCTTTCTATTTGATGCCGCTATAACGGATGCCCCCGAAATCGTTACGCAATTATAGACAAAACTATAGCCAAAATGTCGCTTGTAAATTTTTTTTCATATTATAAATAATTAATTATTTAAAATAGTTTATTCAAATGTAAAAAATTAATGTCATTTCATGTTATAAATATTTTTAAATAATTTGTTTAAATCGTCGATGATAGATCGGAAATGTATTGAGTATCCGTTAATTAAAATGGACCTCTTACGAGTCGGGTTTCCTCTTTTTTTTATTCAAATATGTTTCTAATAATCATCTGTATTTAAAATTCTTAATAATTTTAATTAAAGAAAGATGTTAATAAAATAGAATCGTAATATTTTTTTAAAAATAAATGTTGTAATTATAAGAGACGAAATAATAATGCAATATCGGAACAAATTTGAATTTTGATACTGATTTCAAACAATTAATAGGAAAAGGCGTAAAAGTTATATACAGTATTATGAAAAACTGGATATCATAAAGAAAGATGATAAGCTTTGTACTGTAATATATATATATTTAATAATATATAGTTGTCCCTCGCGTAATAATTTTAATTCTTTCCTGAAAACTCAGTCGTAAAGCGAAAACTCGTTAAACGAATAAGTAAATCCCCTTAATTTTAACGTAAAAATTATAATGCGTTCCATCTTGATCGAATATATCCAGTTTTTACAGAAAAATATATCAGTATCAATTCAAAACATTCATAATAAACAGCAGTCTGAAAGTAAATAAATACAATTTAAACAAAATATAATGATACTTATGAAGGGGTTTTGTAGAGTAGAGTGGGTTTTTTTAATACTCTTTCCGCCCTGTGGGAACTAAGGACACTAAGAGGCCTCTTATAGCAGGCCCACTATAGGGCCGGCCAGACCCACAATGGGGCGACCGGGTGGTGAGAGACGGGGCCCGACATATCCGAACGGACCACCCCCGAAATTTTCCTGGGGATTCCTTGACCGATCACGGGTCTCCAGACGGGCCAGAGCGGTAGGCTGCCGCCTTGGCCGCTCGGCCATCCGGTCTCCCGAGTAAAGTGGAGTAAAAGTGAGCAGTGATAATTGGTTTTATGAATGTCAGCTTGGCAACATAAGTTCATTTTACAAGTTCTCTTGATGAATTGTTGAAGGCTAAATGATAACCGACTTGGCGTAAATAGTTTTGAAATCATGAGTTAATTAATGATAAATGAGAACGAGGGAACTATTCTCTAGAAAGTTGTGCAGAGTCAAGTGATATATCTTCTGATTCTTGTCTAAATCAGATGTACTTGATAATAATTCTGTTTTTCTTTATACTTTCATAGTAAAAATTCCTGATATGAAAGGCTTTGATATGTCCATAGAGTTTGAAATATTACTGGGTTAGATAAATTCAAAATGGAACTTTGTTTGCTTTCTCGTACCGTGTTTCCCCGAAAATAAGACAGTGTCTTATATTAATTTTTGCTCTAAAAAATGCACTAGTTCTTATTTTCAGGGGGATGTCTTATATTTCCATGAAGACGAATTCACATTTATTGTTGCACAATACGCTAAACAGGTTCGAGAGAACACCTTGCGACACATTCAACTTAACCATTTTATAGTGTCCACATCGAGCTCGATGACCAATTAGTGCTTACTGAACCGTAGCACTATGCAAATGTGATGTGGCGTGATTCCCAGCCGACCAATTATCGATCACCAGCGATAACATTATGCAAATCTGTGATTCCCAAGCCATAGTCTTATGCAAATCATGCCGTGTGGCGTAATTGTCTGCTGACCAATCAGTGGCTGTACTTTCAACCATCTGTCGATGACCGTTACGACTAAAAAAAAACTTCGCTAGGTCTTACTTTCAGGGGGAGGTCTTATATTTCGCAATTCAGCAAAATCTGTGCTAGGTCTTATTTTCTGCGGATGTGTTATTTTCGGGGAAACACGGTAGTTTACGTTCGTGCATTTTTTATTTGTTTTTTTAAATTCTTTTCACTGAGGAACTAAGCCTTTAATCAGGTCTATCATAGATTCGGTCAGGCCCATAATGAGGCGGTCAGGTGTTGAGGGATGGGATTCGGAACATAAACAAACCACTCCAAAAAATTCCTGGTTTTTCGATATACCGGATTTGTTCCCGGGTCACCCAAATCAACAGGCTTACTTTTTAATCGCTGCGCTCACCAGTGTCCAAGTGATGCCGAAAACTACTGAACACTGGTAGTTGGTCGTGGGTTCGGCCTCACCAACGGGCTGGCCACGTGGAGTTTTTCGGGTTTTCTTCACGTTAGTAATACCTAAATAGGGAGCCAGTTTCCCCATAAAAGACCTCCCAGAAGGCATTCTCCTCGGCAGATCGCCCATGTGTCGCGTTTTCGTATAGGAATAAAACCAATCCTTAATCGCTCAGCAATCGGCACGTTTGTACGTTTTTTGAAAGATACCAAAGTTTATGTGATAGCATTTTTGAAACTATAATTAGCAATAAAATTATGGACAATGCTTTCTTGTCTACACTGTCCATAGTTTATTTATTTTTTTTTATCTTAGTAGTGTTCAAAGTTTTCTTTACCTTTTCTTCTCCTCGTCATCTTTACCAGAGAGTCTATTTCATGTTTGTATTCCAATTAACCTAATATGAGTTCTTTATCATGGAAATACAAAAATTCATCGACGTAATCTGCATCAAGTTTCTGGAAGTCAGCGTCTTTTTCAAGATAATCTTTGCTTTTGCATCAATCACTTCATTAAATTCTCAAACGTCTCTGATGAATTGAAGACAGATTTTTCTTTACTAAATTTGTTGTTTGTGGAGTGACTATTTGTTTTCAATCTTTTGTTCAATCGTTGCAACTTTTCCATTCTCTCTTCTCTTTCCATTATTTTCTTCTTTATATTTGAAACTTATTTTGAGCTCATTGCCATAAGTCAAAATTCATTTTAAAAATTAATTTATAGCAAAACAAAAACTAAATACGACGCTTTAAAACGCAGAAATTACTCATACGCATAACAGACTGAAGAGCATCTCGTTGCCAGTTTTAGAATAAATTGGTGAATATGTATGTACTTTTCATTAAAAGTATTTCTGGTTAAAAAAGTCGTTGTCCGAAAATTGGTATAACTTTTCAAAAGCAGTAATAGCAAAAACACCATTAAATGAGCAGTTTTAAAGTGAGGGATAGGTGTACTATTTTAAACTATAATGCAGCAACGTGTAGCGATAGCTGCTCTTAACATCATTTTCGCTACACTGTCGCTACATAAACACGATCTATTATGTTACTCTTCTGATATATACTGTACCTATATTGTAAAAATTAATAAACTATGTTATGAAAAATAATTCTTTTTTTAAACTTTACCGTTTAAAAGATTTAGCGCGTGAGCTTGCATACAAGAACTGAAGACAAGACGATTACGGAAGAAAACAAAATAAAGAATTATTTAAAATTTTAATTTCTTAAACACTTTTATTCAATTAAAAAATTATAAATAATATATTTTAAATAATAAATTTTATTAAAGTATAATTTTAGTATATAAATTAAAATGATTTATTTATTTTTTAATATTCCATATTGTTGTAAATTTCGATCTGGCAACAGTTATCATCATTAAACTTGACATCCGTTTCTAGTCTCGTGCAATTTCGGAAATGGCTTCGATGGGAAAACAAGGTTCTGTTTGGCCAAAATGGCAAATAGCGTTAGCTGTCGGTACTCCTTTAGCTATTGGATTAGCGTATTGGTATTTAAGAAGTTGTAAATATTCTAAAAATGAAAAACCAAAAAATAAAGATAGTGAAAAGAAAAAGGAATCCAATGCTATTGGAGCAGAAGGGGACCAAGAGGGAACTGTCTCACAGGTTCACTTTGACTTTTATGCTAATGACGTTAATCAATTATCTTCTTATAATTTGAATTTATTCAAAATCATTTGGCATACGTTTTATAATTTCTATAATAATTTTAAAATAGTTTCTCTCTGATTTAGAATTAATATTCACATCTTTGCACTTGGTTTTATTGATTTTATGTAATGTGTATAGCAATATACAGTAATAGAATACCATAATATATGATTCTATTGCATTTTTTTTATTTGATTCAAAACATCAATTAAAGATCTTCAGATGACATAAGACGTTTCAGTAATGTGTGAAATAATATAGAAGTAGCATCTTGTTGTTTTATAAAAATGGTGGTGATTAATGCTGTATATTTAAAAGCAACCACTTGATTATAGTGGTATACAGACAGTATAAAGTAGTAAACAGATAATAGCAAGGTTGCAGCCGAAGTTTTCATCTCTAAAAATATGAACGTCTAGTGCCGCTTACAAGATTTCAATGTTCACATTTTAGAGATGAAAACTTCAGCTGCAACCTTGCTAATTGTAGTACAGTGAAGTGTTGAAATTCTGGACTAATTGGGGATGGATTCCATCCACATTTCAATTTGTCTGGATTTTTAAATATATGTGTAAATTAACATTTTATGTCCTGTAATCTCTAAATACACTAATTCAAGTTTAAATGTTTTGAGTTCAAGCTAGTATTTCATAAGGAATCTAGGAATACTTAAAGAATCAAAATATAATTTACAGAATCATTATATTTATTAAACAGAATACACTAATCATAATTCCAAAATTAAAAAAATTACAAATTTTGAATGAATATTAGGACATCAATGACATGAGGCTGAAAGAGCATCAACAACAAAGTTACCATTAAAAGTAGTTATTTTTTCACTAAAAACAATAAATATAATTTATTTTAATTGATTATATAATAAAATTAAACAAATACATTAATTTGTAACTTTTAAATATGAAAATGTAAGTAAAATGTATAATACGGTATTTATGTGAGAAATATTATGTAACCTTTAATGAAAATTTTTTACTATAGGTTAAATAAATAAAATATTTTCAAGCCTAAGAGACATTTCAGAGGTTTCAGTTTGTTAACTTAACATACTGAATCTCAGAAAATGAATCTTGAGGTTTTAAAACATTTAACTTATACATTTGTAATTAATTTCCAGTAGAATATTTAATTGCAGGAAATTTGGCAGGAATATTTAATTTTATTAGAGAAATGTTGTATTTTATACAGTCTAATTTTAATTTGTTTTATTTTACTTTCCTATTGTTAAAGTTAGAGCAAAAATATTGTAATTGGTCAAATTTTGACCAATTACAATACTTTTCTTGGAACAAAATTCTGTATGTATGTGCTAGCTTGTATTTTGCTTTATATGTCAGAACTGTATGGACTGAAAATTTTGAAATTTGGCAGGAATACTTCTATATATGGGGTAGCTGAATTTCTTACTGCACTTTAATGCTTTTTTTTAATCCTATATTCTCAGGCACAAACAGTCAAAAGATGGCCTTTTGATTGTCCATGCCTGAAGATGGCTCATTAACCAGGTTGAAATCATTAGTGTTCCTTTTAAAAAATTCTACAGTTAAAGGTGCATTAAGTAACTCAACTAATTCTGTGTGTAGCGTCTTTGTAATCCAAACGTTAATTTTGGTAGACGATCAAACAGCAATTAGGAAAACGTTATGGTTTATTTAAAAGAACACTTTTTAAAAAAATTCAGATGCATTTCGGGTTGGCTTGTATTTCCAACCCCTCTTCAGTGCTGTTAAAATTACATAAACAAGGTGAGTTTCATGACATTGGTAAGTGGGATTTAACATAAACGCGGGTTGACAATAACATAAAAACCTTACATGTTATATAATGGTACAGTATAGACGTGTGTGGGAATATTTTTATTACATAGTCATATGACTATTTCCTATAATATGAAAAAAGTAAAGGGCATGGTTAACACATCATTTACATGAAGAATATATATAACATAGATTATTAATTTTAAAATATCTATAAACACTTACATTTTTAGTTAAAATGTATTATTCTTGATAAGAAATGGAACAGAGTACAAATTGACAACGGGCATTATCCGGTGTTCACCAAGTAACAGTATACTGGCAAGTGATGTTATTTAAACCATTCCTAACATTCCGTACAAGGGGGTGTGCTTTAAACAATATTTAACGCATGGAGGTGCTCTCTATTAGTTTATACCATTGGGGGTCTATTGACATGCCTTCTGAAATATTAATTAAGTTATCTTTAGGGTGTTTTTTGATTTCTATGTGTTCTTTAAATTTCCTTTTATATGGGTCTTTTTCTAAATGTAACACTTTTATATATTTTTTTTATCAATTTGGCAATTATTGTCACTTGTGTGGTATGTCCCAGAATATATAAAAAAGAATATTTATTATCATGGAGTTAAAAAACTTATATACAAGTAACTCAACTAAGTTACCACAGTGGCTAGTGTAGGGTTGTACTGAAAGTTCATTTGGTTTTTAGAGAGAAATAAAGTACACTATTTTGTAATAAATAAAAAACTTTACTCCACAATGTATTTTCCCTTCTGTTTGATAATCTTATGCCATCTGATGGGTAGTTTTATAATTCCAACTGTGTAGAATTGGATGGGTTTCTGATTAAAGAAATTGTCAATGTGATTTTTGATACTTGCTAAATATTGACAGTTTATACTATTTAAATTATTCTGCAACAAATGAAAAATATGATAGTCTGAGGGAGCAATACCTGGAGAATATGCAGAGTGACTCAAAACATCCCAGTTAACGTCTAGAAGTTTTTGGCATACATTCAGTGATATGTGCAACCTTACATTATCATGGAATACGTCTTTTCATTGATTTGCAAGTTCGGACATTTTTGATGCACTGCACCCTTTAGCTCATCCAGTTAGAGACAGTATTTATTGGAATTAATTGGTTGTTGGGTAAAAAGCTCATAATAAAGAACCCCTTTCCAATCCCACCAAACTGAAATCATTACTTTTATAGGATGCAAACCAGCTTTAGGTTGTAGCACTGGCAGATCACCTATCTGGCTTATTCCAAGATCTCTTATGTTGAATATTGTAAACAATCCATTTTTCATTACCTGTTATTAATTGCTTTAAAAATGCATCATCATCATTGTGTTTTAAAAGTGAATCACAAACAGAAACATGATCTATAAGATTTTGTTCACTTAACTTATGGGAACCCAAACATCATAACAGGAAGTGTATCCAAGGTTAGCCAAATGTCTGATGAGAGATTTTAAGGTGTCAGTTATCTCTCGATTTGGATTTTATCTACCATTTTAGATTAAAGCCACTGTGGACTCATCTATGGTTGAGGGTGTCCTGACTGAGGTGCATTTTCAAAAGAAAAATCTTTTGCCCTAAATTTTGCAAAGCATTTCTGGCATATTTGAATAATTGCATTCTCCCCACATATCTTCTTTTGAGAGTTTGTCATATTTTTCCATTTTTAGAAATAATAGAGCATGAGATGTCAAAAATACACCATCTTATCTTCCATTTTAATATTTTTTTTTAAAAGATAGTTATTTTTTAAAAATTACATTAACTAGACTTATGTATTAAATATGCAAATATATGTCATGTCCACCTAAACAAGTTAAAACTTGATAAGCACAACAAAGGTGACACAAATGAGCAATTATGTAAATACCTAAACAAACTTTCATTTCAATCCTATATATTATCATTATCATTATATATATATATGAAGTATTGATGGCTAACAATCTTCAAAATATAATAGCAAGTGGGAAGATAGCAGGGTCAGACTTAATGAAAATTTATTTATTATATAATTTTTTTTAATAGCTTACCTATCCCCAAAATAAGGCTTTTCTCTTTTTTTCTAACTTTTAGAAATTATAATTTAAANATAGTCGTATGACTATTTCCTATAATATGAAAAAAGTAAAGGGCATGGTTAACACATCATTTACATGAAGAATATATATAACATAGATTATTAATTTTAAAATATCTATAAACACTTACATTTTTAGTTAAAATGTATTATTCTTGATAAGAAATGGAACAGAGTACAAATTGACAACGGGCATTATCCGGTGTTCACCAAGTAACAGTATACTGGCAAGTGATGTTATTTAAACCATTCCTAACATTCCGTACAAGGGGGTGTGCTTTAAACAATATTTAACGCATGGAGGTGCTCTCTATTAGTTTATACCATTGGGGGTCTATTGACATGCCTTCTGAAATATTAAATAAGTTATCTTTAGGGTGTTTTTTGATTTCTATGTGTTCTTTAAATTTCCTTTTATATGGGTCTTTTTCTAAATGTAACACTTTTATATTTTTTTTTTATCAATTTGGCAATTATTGTCACTTGTGTGGTATGTCCCAGAATATATAAAAAAGAATATTTATTATCATGGAGTTAAAAAACTTATATACAAGTAACTCAACTAAGTTACCACAGTGGCTAGTGTAGGGTTGTACTGAAAGTTCATTTGGTTTTTAGAGAGAAATAAAGTACACTATTTTGTAATAAATAAAAAACTTTACTCCACAATGTATTTTCCCTTCTGTTTGATAATCTTATGCCATCTGATGGGTAGTTTTATAATTCCAACTGTGTAGAATTGGATGGGTTTCTGATTAAAGAAATTGTCAATGTGATTTTTGATACTTGCTAAATATTGACAGTTTATACTATTTAAATTATTCTGCAACAAATGAAAAATATGATAGTCTGAGGGAGCAATACCTGGAGAATATGCAGAGTGACTCAAAACATCCCAGTTAACGTCTAGAAGTTTTTGGCATACATTCAGTGATATGTGCAACCTTACATTATCATGGAATACGTCTTTTCATTGATTTGCAAGTTCGGACATTTTTGATGCACTGCACCCTTTAGCTCATCCAGTTAGAGACAGTATTTATTGGAATTAATTGGTTGTTGGGTAAA